TTTTTTTTTTGTGGCCCTGATTGGTCTCGTAGCAATAAGTATGTAAAAAAAAAATGGATTCAGAAAAAACGAAGGGCATTCATATTCATATTTGCTCATTCGAGCACGTCAAGGTTTACGGACACAATTGAATGCATAGAATACCATTTTGACCATAGCCTTGTTTGTGGATGGATGATATTGATGCGAGAAAAGAAGCACCCTTTTTTCGCAATTAGAACGATGTACATGTAGTTGCGCGATCGTTTTGATCGATTTCAATCGCAAGTATAACACGTGCTCTGCTCGAGCGAGCACACGCTTACGCGACTTTGAGCGAACATGTAAGCAAGCAACGATGAACACATATATACGTACTCAAAGTTGATTGATGAGACAGTAACGATGAATGAATAGAATATGCACGCATAGATAGATTACGAGAGCATAATATACATACATTCTTTCGAATATATATATATATATATATATATATATATATATATTCAATGTTATATGAGCACAGACGATGATTTCACACAATGAAAGAAATAAGAGTTAATTTAAATGAGTGTTTTTTTTTTGTATATCGAAAGAAAAGACTACGAAAAAAAAAAAGTTTCATAACGAATGAATATAAATTAAATTAATAATGATAAGAAGAAAAAAAGAAAAGTTAAATTCGAGTAATATTAAAATATTATCATAAGATTCATCTTCGATTATATGATATACATGTTCTAAAGCTATCTGTGATTCACATACGAAATTAAAAAAAAAAGAAAAAAAAATCTCACCTACATTTTATTCTATTATAATAAACTCGATTCAATCGATCAATAAATCAAAACAACTACTAAAAGTTGAAAACTATATAATGATTACCAAATTTTATTTCTAATATTATTTATCAATTGAATTATTTCTATATATACAATTAATTCTCAATAGTAATTTATATTCAACTAATTTTCTCTTTTATGTGCTAACCTTTTTTTTTTGGCCATGAATAGTTCGTTGATGAATATAAACTTGAACATCGGACGATGAATTGTTTACAGAAATATTCACATTAATTAATTGATAAAAATCATCTAGAGAGAAGGAAATTTATTTTAATATAAAATATTGTTATATATATATATATTACTATTAATATCAGCCATTATTTTCATTATTAACCAAAGACGTTGATGAAATTTATCAAGATAATTCGATTGTAATTCATATAGATCAGTCTAAAATTATTAGAAAAAAAAACCATTTTAATTAATTAATTTTACTAATTATTCTAATAGGTTTTTAGATTTATAATCAATCAATTGAATAACTAATGGACCAACAGTAGTAATTATAAATAAAAAATAGAACGAATAAAATTACAAATTGTCGTTTGCATAATATATATGAACACATTTGTATTGATCTTAATAAAAAATATTTTTGTTTTTGATTAAATGAACAATTTTTTTTTCTTTTGAAATTTAAGAGAATCTTAGAAAAAAGAAAAGACTTGCATTGCTTGACATAGACAATAAATAATATTATAATAAAAGATTGAAATATTTCAACTTGAGTTCATTCATATGGGTTGATTTTTCTTACACAAATAATGTAAATAAATATTAAGAGATGAGACTATTGAGTAGACGAGGCAATCAATCAAAAAAAAAAATTTCTCTTTTTTTTTTTTTTTAGTGCATTCAATATATCGATATGTGATACCATCGACGCCAAAATTTTAGTGTCCATTACTATTTCTTTTCAAAGTCAATCAATACCGACTTTCTATTACTATCATATCCTCATGAAAAAAAAATAAGATCTCATGTTAAAAGTTGTACGCTTTTTTTATTTCAATAAATCATTCAAAATTTTTTTTTGTAAATTATACTAAAAGATAGAAAACTAAAAATTGAACAATTCAATATAAGATAGTGTTGATTGATTCAAGTTTTATATGGTCAACATGAATGAAAAATGGCTCTTTCGGTGATTCTAAAATATCTATTTGGTAATAATCTCTCTCCTATTGAGATTCATTGTCAGAGAGTTTCAAGCTACATTTTTGTATATGTTATTTAACTTTTTTATTCTCGCCAAAATGGTAAAAAAATCTATTCAAAACTAAATGACACCTTCAGGGCAAAATAGGGTTCACATTGCTGTCTTAGATAATGATTTTTCAATAGTAAAAAAAAAAAAGACATTTTTAGCGGTTTTCATTGCCATGACAAAGCTGAAAAGGAAAATAAATGTGACATTCGTAATCAAAGTCAAAAATCACATTGAATCAAATACATTTTAGAGAAATTCACCTGTTATCTATCACGGATGTATTTTATTAAAAATTTTGACCTATGATCCCACCGAAGGGTCAGTTTTTTTTTCGCAGGAAACAAATTTCTCTAAAATGTATTTGATTCAATGTAATTTTTTATTCTAATTTCGAATGTTACATTTATTTTACTTTACAACTCTGTCATGGCAATGAAAATCGCTAAAAACGTCTTTTTATTTCAATTGAAGAATCATCAAAAATCAAGATGTAAGAGATAAAAATATGTGAACCTGGTTTCGCCCCGAAGGTATCATTTATTTTTGAATAGGTTTTTTTAACCATTTTGGAGAGAACAAAAAGGTTATTTTAACATATGTCAAATTCAGCTTGGACCTCTCTGACAATGAATCTCAATAAGACATAGATTATTATCAAATGGACATTTTTTTTAGACTCATCAAAACAGACATTTGTCATTGATGGTGGCATTATAAAACTTATAGATACATTTCAGACGAAAACTCTTTGTTAAGATTTGCAATATGATGAGAATTCAGTAAAATAACCATAATTGGAGAAGCAAGCCTTACAAATATAAACCCGCTTAGAGTTTTCATTTAATACGATAAACTCAAACAGAGGGTATGAGTTGAACAATAAAAAAAAGAAACCAAAACGTCCTTTACGAATAATATTCAATTTATATACATTGAGTAAATTTTTTAGACTAGTTAATTTAAATGTTAGAATTAATGTAAACCTAATAGACACTAAAATGACAAATTCTTTTGCAAAAATCAGTGTTTCATACTGGAAAATTTATTTTGTTTTCTTAAGTCGGATCCGAAATCCGATTATGTCTGGAACCAATCCGACGGATTCCATTCTTAAGTGATAACTGAAAATTATCTTGAAGCATGCCACATAGATTTTTCTCAATTCAATTCACTTTATCTTTCAATAAAGTACTTTTACTCTATAAGACAAATAGTGAATGTATAGGTGTCCACTGCGACGCGATGAACTAGACAAAAAGTTGCCGGTCCTGCGATAGTTTTCGAGAAATTCTTCAAAAACCTCTTCCACCACTGTACTAAACTAGCACAGTTAGTTTAAATCTATCAGATTCACTACACTTTTGACTGTTGAACTTTCAGCGAGGGCTATTCAAAGTTTATCAAGATCGGCGGATAGGATATCTTTGTTGTGAAAAAAGACGAAGAAAATTGTTGAGTTCCATTCGAGAGAAACAAACATTTTTCAATATTAGTGGGTGCCGCCTCACTTCTTGTAACAACTCATATCAAGTAAAAATTCATGAAATTTTACAATCTCTATAAAAAAAAAGAAGATGCCGCGATGGTATTTTTGAAACAATTTCTGTCTTTTAAAACTTCATTTATTTTCATATACTTACCGTTCAATCTCTTTTGTTTCATCTATATTCTATCAAATTAAAACTTCAGATCTGAAAAATCACTATCATAAATCTCTTTCTTTTTCCTTTTTTAATTAAAAACAAAAAAAAAAATCAAAATCATATTACATAATAAAAAAAAACCATTCTCTCTAAAGTTTACTTTTTTCAATTAAATCTTTTTTCAACCATAATGGTGTTATAAATGTTTGTTTATTAGAATGAATCATCTTATGTATAGCTTCATATACTTGACCATTATAATTTCCTAATACTGAATTAAGTATATGATCAGGTGGTGCAAATACATCAACTAATGCAAGAATTTCATTACGTAATTCATAACATAAATCTAATAAACGTATTTGTATCCATTGATTAATATCAATATTTTTAATATAATTTCCTTCAAATAAAATTCCTATATATTCTTCAAATAATTTTAATATATGTACGATTAATAATTTTTCAAGAATTTGTTTACATTTTTCATCCATATCATTATTTAATTGAAGAAATTGTGAAAAACGAATAATAGCTGTATGCTTAAATAAAATTATTAAAAAAAAATTTTTTTTTTGTTAGAGAAACAAATGTTTTTTACTTGAATATAAATAATTGATAATGTTCGAAGATGATAAACTTGTGTCATATTTTTTAAATCAAAT